CCCCAGAGCCAGGATTCGAACTCCAGAGCCTGAACTGCCGTATGTTGGCCTTTTATCCTTTGGGGAAGATGTTTGGTGTTAGAAGAAGCCAACCCTTTGTTATCTGTTTCCACAGATCTTATTTCAATACTGTTCATCCCCTTCCACAGACAAGTGGCACCTCTTCCCCGACACCTTAGGCTTCCTCTTGGTTCCTAAATACATCAGTAATGACATTTGTCACAGTGGAAGGGTCTAAGGATCTTTGGGAAGAAGGAAGATTGGAATTTGAGCTGGCAGATGGGCTCAAGCAGAAGGCACCAAGACTCCTTCACAGTTGGAGTCCCAGGAATTTTCTTGGCTTTATTCTCCGTGGGATATGCAGGGTGACCGGCGGGCTGGACCGGATTCTGCACTTAGCATTTAAACCATATTCTCAACTGATGAGCCATCGTTACAGCCCAATCATATTCTCCTTAATGCTAATGAATTTTTATTTATATTATTATTATTTTGGTATTGGGAGGGTGGAGACAGGGTTTTATGTAACCCAGACCAGCCTCGGACTTGCTATGTAACTAACAATCTTTTTTATATATTTATTTTTATTTTATGGTGTTTTGCCTGCATGTATGGGTGTCAGGTCCCCCGGAACCAGAGTTACAGACAGTTGTGAGCTGCCATGTGGGTGCTGGGAATTGAACCTGGGTCCCTTGGAAGAGCAATCAGTGCTCTTAACCACTGAGCCATCTCTCCAACCCTGTAACTAACAATCTTAAAGTCCTTATCTTGTCTTCACCTCCACATGCTAGAGGCATACCACCATACTTGGCTGTAGAAGTGGGTGAAGTCCTGAGTGAATGTGTATTGTTAGACATGGGTACAGCCATATCAAGGACCAATGCCTCAGTGCCATGGGAATGGCAAAACCTTCTCCAGCATGAGGCTCAGAGGGGTGGCCAAGCCTACCTCAGGTCCGAGTGTGAATGTTGACAGCGTGTGCAGAAAATACCCACCATAGCTTTCTCTGTAGCCCCCATGTTTAGGGCCTGAAGACTGTTCCCTACAGAAATCAGCTGACCCCACCTCCTTGTTCAGCTGTATGTAATAATCCTGCTCCCCTGTTTACGTGTAGACAGTAACCCTGCCTCCCTGTTTACGTGTAGACAGTAACCCTGCCTCCCTGTTTACGTGTAGACAGTAACCCTGCCTCCCTGTTTACGTGTAGACAGTAACCCTGCCTCCCTGTTTACGTGTAGACAGTAACTCTGACGCCCTGTTTACGTGTAGACATTAACCCTGCCTCCCTGTTTACGTGTAGACAGTAACCCTGCCTCCCTGTTTACGTGTAGACAGTAACCCTGCCTCCCTGTTTACGTGTAGACAGTAACCCTGCCTCCCTGTTTACGTGTAGACAGTAACCCTGCCTCCCTGTTTACGTGTAGACAGTAACCCTGCCTCCCTGTTCACTTGTAGACATTAACCCTGCCTCCCTGTTTACGTGTAGACAGTAACTCTGATGCCCTGCTCAGTTTTCTACAGCAGAAAAGCTGAGCTGTGGCTGTGGCTTCTCCTCCAGAGCCCAGTCTTCCTCTGTGTTCTGTGTCTGTGTGTTTACCATGTCTTCATCCCCTGGCCACCCCACTTAATTCAGTCCTCGGGCTGTGCAAGGCCAGGGCACTTGGCTTTGGTTTTGCTTGTTTCTTTGAGACAGGGTCTTGCTCTGGGACACTGTTGGCCTGGCATGTACAATGGAGACCAGGTTGACCTAGAACTTCCAGGAGTCCTCCTCAGACTCCCAAGTGCTAGGATTACAGGCATGAGCCTCAACACCCGGCTTTTTGGTGAATATTTTATATGCAGTAATGTACACATGCCCCGCAGAGACTCATAATCTGTGAACTGCCGTGGATCTGTTGGTTTTTATTGGCAGGTAGGCGCACAGTCGTAGCAGTGTGAGGTGAAGGCCTTGTTTCCCAGGTCTGATCCTTCTCTGGTCCTGGCACCTGCTTGCTGAGCCCAGGCTAGAGCAAGGTCCCTCTCTGGGGTTGTCTGGAGGGCTGTCTGCAATGCAGAGTCCCAAGTTGTCTTGATGAAGATAGAAGGGGGAGCAGGTGACCAGGGGGTAATGTGGGTACAAATAGGTTCAGGCCTCTCGAGTGGGGAATGGCCCCTGAGTGGCCCTGACCCTGAGTGTGGCACCCTATGACCATACCCTAAGACCTAACTACTCAGGACAGAACAGCATGCAGAAGTGACACCTGCCGTGGTCGGGACCTTGGGACCTCCGGCAGAGCTGCTTCTGGGAACAGCAGAATTCCAGAGGCAATCTGGACCAGGCGGGGGCAACTGCAGACCGCTGCCAAGAGTTCCTCTTGTCACGGGTGGTGAAGGCTTACAAGGTACCAGCACCCCTGAGACCTGGGTGCATTCCCAGCCATGCTGTGAACAGGGGAGAGCTGCCATTTGGGGGAGGAAGATTCTGGGAGAACACGCCAAGGTTCTCAACCCATCTCCCGGTTTACTAGCTCTCACTGGGTGCTGGGTTAGGATGCTTCGTCTCCTGTCAAGAAGTCACTGGAGGATTAGGAGCTCTGCATTGCAGGACAGTGCCTCCTCTGTGAAGCAACAGCTCAGAAGGTAAAGTCACCAGCCTGTAAGTGCTGCAGGACTGGAGTCTGTGCATCCAATGTGTGGGCTTCTGTGTACCACGGTGGGTGGGCAGCTGTGTGTGGAGCCAGCAGGGGACAGTTCTCTGAGGGTGGCAGGCACCATTCAGCGCTCATTCCCCTCTGTACCTGGACGAGTCACCACCATTTTAAAGCCTATGTCTCTTTCTCCAGGGAGTCCTCCATGGTAGCCCCAACTCCACTAAGCCCCATTCACCCTGTCTCTCCTGTACCCTGCTTATCTCCAGGCAGCTTCTGTCTTTGTCGCTATCTGTCCCATGTCCCTCACTAGGCTGTAGGGTCTGTCATTGGTTTTCAGTATCCTTGTCATGAGGTTGGGCATCATCAGTGGGGACTCAGGAACTACATGAGGACAGAGGAAGGTTGAGGGGGGCTTCCTTCAGAAGATGGGCAATAGCCCTGGAGAATAAGAGGACAGACGTGAGCAGGGGGATAGGGCACTAGGGGGTACTTCCATCAAGGAAGGAGCTCTGCTTGCCCTGGAACAGACCAGTGAGACATTTCCTACAGTCAGTAGGGGCCCCTCTAGGGTTTTGTTGTTGTTGTTTTTGGTTTGAGACAGGGTCTCACCGCCCAGCACTGGCTGACCTTGAACTCACTGAGATCTGCCTGCCTGTACTGGGACATGGCAAGTTCCTAACCAGCAATATCACAGAAGCAAGCCTTCCTTTTACAGTCCACTGTGGACCCTCCTGCAGAGGAGGAGGCACAGAGGGCAGCTGAATCCCTCTGAAAGTTTACTCAGGCTTCTTGCCCAGGCCACACAGTTCAGGTCAGACAGTCCCCTGGAATCTGGAGGTCATATGTGCAATTTACTCATGTCCTGTGTAAGTGTTTACTGGGAACCAAAAACTTTCTAGAACCTTCCAGGCACTGGGCTTGGGAAACCCTGACGAGGGGCTGGGCTTCAGGATGCCCAAGCTACCTCATGGTACGCTAGTACCCTGACCCCATCCCTGGGCACCAGTCCCCACTGCTGCCCTCTCTCTGCTTACTCTGGGCTGGCCCCTGGGCTTTGGGTAGAGATATAGAGGGTTCCTCCCTGCGGAGTCCATAGGGATGGGTCTGAACAGCCTGCCTAGGGCCCCACATGGGCAGCTGTTCCTGGAATGGGGGTTAAAATTTTTTTTTGTTGGCGAATATGCATGTGTCCTTAATTATTTATACATAGCACTTATCTCCCCCAAATGTTTGATCGGGATTCTGTAGATAGTCAAGCGTGTGTGGCAGGCAACAGGGTGGAAGCAGACAGACACAGGCAGCACCCAAATCAGCCTGGCCCAGGGATGCAAGGTGGAGGGACCCCATCAGTGGTGGTGCTGACCCTCCCATGCGCTGAAGTCAGGAAGCTGCACATGGGTGCTGTGCCCCTGGGAGTCTATGGCTGGCAGGCTTATCCACCTTTTTGCTTTGGTTGTAGGGAGGTACCATCACCAAGGACCAGTTCTCCTTGCTTGGAGCAGAGCAGCACAGGAATCCAGCCCACCCACGAGGCCTTAAAAGGGGCCCTAAACTGGCTGTGATGGTGTGTGCCTAGAATCCCGGTACTTGAGAGCTGCAGGCAAGAGACTTGGGAGTTTAAGGCCAGTCTGGACTACATAGCGAGTTCTAGGATAGCTTGGGCAACATGAAACCCTGTCTCCAAAAACCAAACTGAAGAAATGCCTCAACAGTTAAGAACAGAGGCTGCACTTGCAGAGAACCAAGGTTCAATTCCCAGCATCCACATGGCAGCTCACAAGCATCCATAACTCCAGTTCTGGGGAATCCAATGCTCTCTTTGGACACCAGGAATACATGTGGTGAATATACATACATGCAGCCAAAACACCAATACACATAAACTAAAAATTAAAAAAAATAAATATTTTTAAGCGCTTGCTGCTCTTGCTGAAGACCTGGGTTCTGTTCCCAGCATGCACATGATGTCACAACAATCTCCTGATTAGAACTCCAGTTCCTGTGGATCTGAACCCCCTTTTGAGTATCAGGCATACAGGTAGTCCACAAATATACATTCAGGCTAATACTCATACACATAGAATAAACAAATCTTAAAAACAAAAGGCCAACCAGGTGGCGGTGGTACATGCCTTTAATCCCAGCAAGTGGAAGGCAGAGGCAGGTGGATCTCTGTGAGTTCGAGGCTAGCCTGGGCTACAGAATGAGTTCCAGGAAAGGTGACAAAGTTACACAGAAAAACTTTGTCTCAAAAAACCAAAAATAAATAATAAATAAATAAATAAATAAATAAATAAATAAATAAATAAATAAGCCAACATGAGCTGGACATGGTGGTACACACCTATAATCCAGCATTTGAGAGGCAGATGGCTGTGTGAGTTCGAGGCAAACCTGGTCAATACAGGGAATCCAGACTAGCCAGGGCTACGCAGTTCGTCTCAAACAAGATTTTGTCTGAACAAACCAACCAAGGCAGAGGTGGGATGGGAGAACGGAGACCTTGACATCCAACACAGATGTGACCTGCTCCTACATCACACTCTCCAGTGCTTGGAAACCCGAGTGGTCTTACCGGGTTTGTTTTGTGGGGGAGACTAGGGCTAGAGCCCGGGTCATCCCAGGGACTGGGACTAATGAGCACAGTGAGTGTGGTCCACCCCTCTGGCAGTCCCACTGGAGATTCCTGAAGTGACTTTGCCCTGCACCAGCCCCCGTGTCTAGAGGGTTGTTGTGGTCTCAGAGGCCAACCTTCCCACACTGGGTCAGCCTTAATATGCTTCGTGTGCGTGCACCCTTACCCGGATCTCCGGGTCAGATGATCTCTGATCATCTGTGAAGCAGGGCATGGTGAGGGTCTGGGTGGGAGGTCCGGCATGCCCCCGGAAAAGGAAGCTGGACAGCATCTGTCCCAACAGCTACTCACAAACCCACGAGTGTGAGGGCGGGTAGAGTAAGGTGCCACTAGGAGTTGCCCCTGGAAGCACCTATCCCTGCTCACACCCACCATGGGGCTTTCGGAGGCCTCTACGTGCTTGTGTTGGGTGGAAAGAACTGGTAATTGATGATTTAGCCCGAGTTTTCACCACTGGGATCCGAATGGGGCTCCTGCCACGTTCCCCCTGGCCTCTGGGTCTGGTGTATGGGGCCGGGGCGGGAGTCTCCCCCTGAAGTTGAGCATTCCCCACCCTACCTCCTGCAGCCTGTGAGCAGCGCTCTCTAGAGGAGAACTCTTCCAGGCGGGAGATCCCCTGCGGCTCCCGGCTGGGGGCCTGCCAGCCTGGTAATTGGTGCATCGATTCGCAGCTGGGGTGTAAGGCTCTCGGATGGGGGCGGGAGTCTCGGGCAAGCCCTGGGGAGACATTGCCGGAGGGAGGCGGGGAAACCGGTGATGCCAGGTTAGGGAGGGCCTCCTTGCCTCGCTGAGCCACAGAGAAGGCATACGGGTAGGATCCCTGGGGTGGCCAGGGCCGCCCGGGCCCCCTTGGGCCCCTGGAAGAATTGGTTCCCACCAGCCAACCTGTTCCCACAGCCAGAAGTTGCCATGGTGACCCCCTCCCACCTTCAGCTACAGCTTTTCCAGTAAAACCACTGCCGAGATCCATACTTCCCGACAGGCACGCCTGCGGCCCCCACCCCCCTCGTGGCAGCCGGGAGCAGCTGGGAGTTAACCCTGCATATGCCGGGGACTGTTGTTTGGGGGAAAAGGGGAGCGGGAGCCAGTAGTGGGGCCATGGGTAGGAGCGAAGGTGGACAGGGAAATGATCCTGGCCAGCGACTTGAGCAAGTCTGGAACTTGGAGCAGGGAAACCAAGCTGGCCTTGGCTTAGCCAAGCCCCCTGGGCCTCAGGGAGCCCTTGCTGGGGCCCACTGGCAGCCATACTCCAGTCTCGGTGCGTGTGCGGGTGGGGGTGGGGGGTGGGCACTCAGCTCTAAGTGGGACAGTGGGTTCTGTCTAGCTTGGCATGAGCCGCAGCCCCCCTCTGGCTTCCTCCCCTGTTCCGCAGGCACAAATTCTCTTTCTGGAGGCAGAAAGGTCCCTCCAGCCTGGAGTTTGGCTTTGCAAGTCAGCCTCCTGTGGGCTGTGGAACCCCAGAGGTCCCAGCTGTGTCCTGCCTTGAGAAGTCCAGAGAATGACCCCCTGCTTACACGTTTACGGTCTGAGGAAGAAGATGGTGCTTCTGAAAGGCACTACCCTGCTTGGGCCCCAGGGACCCATGGTCAGGCCTCTATCAGGGAAGGGGTCCTTGGGGACACTGAGGCTGCAGGCCCAGGGGGGCTCCATCTGTGGCTCTGGCGGGCCTCACTCCCACTGTGAGCTGCTGCAGCTCTAATTGTTCTCTGTAGCCGGATGAGTAATTGAGAGGTCTTTGAAGGGAATTAATTAGGCCGCTTATTGACTGTAAATGCTTGCTGTGGATGATAAAGGGGAGGCTGGCCGCCTGTGTGGGCCCGGCTGGGGCACAATCAGACATTTCATTCACATTCGGCTCCCTCTGGGGGTCAGCTGCTCAGCTTGGCAGGGACCTGACCCCCTTGTCTGTCCTGCCCCCTCCTTCAAGAAGGGACCAGGCAGGCTGAGCCCGGCTTAGTCTTTCCACCTCTACACCCCGCTTCTGGTATTTGGAGGCAGCACTAACTATCCCTTAAGTCTTCCCAAAGGTGAGCTGGGGTTCCCCGCAGGAGGAACCCTCCTGTCCCATGTTGGGAGCCCTTCCCTAGAATGTTGGGTTGAAGTCCAGAGGCAGGCTGGGGGCAGGTTCTCACCCTCAGCTCTCCGAGAGAGGTACCTGCACTGGGGACCTGCTGTGCTGGCCCTGGGCCCCATCTGTCCAGCCCACTCCCCTGTCCCAACCCTTTTCTGGGAAGAGGGGAGAGACTGGAAACGGAGCACGCATTCCCGCCCTCCTAGCTAGGGTCAGAGTGGAAACAGCCTTGTCGTTGGACAGTTAGTGAGGAGGGCAGGACAGTGCTGGGGTGGTGCCTGGCTGGCTTGCCCGGAAAGTGGAAGTGATAGCCTGGACTGAGAAGTAGCCATGGTAGCACCCCGTTCATATGGCCTCTGCTCCCGGCTGGCCGGTTCTAAGCCAGGTCCATGCTGACTGACTTGCTGATTTTGTTTTCCAGTAACTCTGTGCAGATCTTTTTCGAAGAGCCAGCACTGTGGGAATATTGTAGTTTGCAGAGATGCAGCAGCCTCTGGCTTGGTTAAAGACTGGTTGAATGAGTGAGTGGATGTGTTAAGCCCCCTTTTCATGGAGCCAGAGGACCCATATCGTGAGGGATCTGCCAGGACCAGGGAATGGCAATGTTGATATCTTGAGGTGAAGTACAGACTCAGCCACTGGGGGACAACACCCTGCCCTCTCCACTCCCCACCCCCCACCTCCCCACCTCTCACCCCCTCACTCCTCCCCTCCACTCCCCATACCTGAGTGCCAGGCCCAGGAGTTAGCCCTTGATTCTAGAGCCGCTATAGTATCACTGGATCCTGCGAGACCTTGCAGATCAGTTCAGGCCTCAAGTGTGGGCACCGGAGCTGGTGCAGAAGGATGTCGAGTGTGACCTTGCTCCAGATGGACAGGCCTTGACAGCCCTGAGATAGCTGGAAGGGAAAAGGCTATGGAACCAGGTGACTAGATCTGAAGTTGGGGGACCAGGAGGAGACGGCAGCAGGTGTCCCCTCAGAAGCACAGGGACTTGGCTGTTGCCTTCAGGGAGCTAGGGTTGTAACGATCCTGGCAGGAGGGACGATATTCTTTTGTTTGTTTTTAGACAGGGTTTCTCTGTGTAGCCCTGGCTGTCCTGGAACTTGCTCTGCAGACCAGGCTGGCCTCGAACTCAGAGAGACTGGCCTGCCTCTGCCTCCACCACCATCTCTGCGTGCACCACCAAACCCCGGCCCAGGAGGGAGATGCCCTAACAAGACTCTTGCATCTCGCTTTGGCTGCTAGACTATTAAGAAGATGAACCCCAAGAAATTGGAATCTCGCCAGGAGTCTTGTGCTGGGAGAAGGGACCAGCCAGAGGGGAGCTTGTCTCCCAGGAAGAGATTTCACACCATTCTGGCAACTTGTTAGACCACCTACAGGAGAGAGAAGCTGGGACAATGATGAGCCAGTCCCCACCTTGACCAGGACTGCTCAGCTCTCCATGTCTCTTGCCCTCTGTTTAAACATAAAGCTCACTCACGCCAGGACCCTTAGATGGACTCGGAGATCACTGGACCTCTTTGTGTCTCTTGCTAATGTGCCCACACTGAATAAATCTCCTTTCTCTGCTTTTCACCATTGCTTGTCTCTTTAATTGGCCTACTGGGGACTGGAGGCTGAGTGAGCCTCGCTTGTTAGTGCTGACGGCCCAGCCAGGCTCTGACCCTAACAACTTGGGTAACAGGATGCTCTGGCGCCTGCTGTGTTTCCATATGCCCTCCCTCCTCACCCTGTGCTGGATTGGCCCCTATTGGGCCTTGTGAGCTGCCCTCTGCTTTCTCTCAGGTTCGGTCGGTTAGGAGCACTGGTAGAAGACTGGGGGTGGGGTGGGGCCGTGGTTACATCCTCTGGCTACATGGGTTTGTATCTGCCCCTTCCTCCCGCCCAGCCGGCAGCTCCTAAGGGGGCAGTCCTCTCTGTTCCTCTTTCTCAGCCGTAGATACCCACACACACCTCCTCCAACTGTCCCGAGGTCCTGTGTGATGAGTTATTGCATGAAGTGATTTACACTTCACATCTGACTTAGCTGAGCCACCAAATTAGTAAACATGCCATCAGAAAGGCCTGAACAGGCGCCTGCCAGGCAGCTCCACGCTGGAGTAGACAGGTGCCAGCTGTGAGTCTCTTCCCTCCTCTTCTCACCTCCAGGATGGCTCCCCACAGTCCCTAGTGTGGTGACTGGGATTGTCTCCAGCTTCAGAAGCCACAAATGCCTCCGGGAAAGAGAAGCCCATCTTCCCCAAGGTGGCTGAAGCCCAGGACCTGGGACCTGAGGACAGTTGACAGTCACACAGAACGCAGGGGATGAGTCGAGGGGGAAACAGAGGCAGCCAGGAAGTAGCTCAGGTCTGTGCACAGCCCACCCTTCATTCCTGACAGAGGTGTACTCCTGTTCTTCCAGGTCTGGGTGTCCGTATGTCCTTTCTACTCAGTGGCCATCCAGGAAGGAAGGGAGACTGGGCTCAGCCCCCTCTTTCCTGCTAACTTACAGGCAGGCGTGTGACGAGAGTGACCAATCAAAGCCTTCCACGTGAATCCATCCTCTTTGAGGAGTCTAGGAGGTAGAGGGCAGCTCAGTGGTAAAATCCACGCTTCACGTGCTCCGAGACCTGGGTTTGGGTCCCAGCACCCAAAGGAGAATACAATGAAAGTGTAGGATTGTTCCTGGGGGCTGTGGGTCTGACAGTAAGGATCCATCTGTGATGTCTAGGCAGAATATGGTATCATTTGTGCTAATCAATACATCCTTAATCTATTTTCAGAAACTCAATGTACCTGAGGGTGGATTTGAATTTATGATCTTTCTTCCTTGATCTTCAAGTTCTGGGACTACAGACATGTCCAAAGTCAAGACTATGGACTGTAGGTGTGGAGCAATTGGTAGAACTCTTACCTAACACACATGAAGCTCTGGGCTCCAGCTCCACCATGGAGTCATGCATGCCTGTAATCTCAGCATTCAGAGAGTAGGGAGACAGGGATCAGAAGTTCAGGGTAGCCGGGCAGTGGTGGCGCACACCTTTAATCCCAGCACTTGGGAGGCAGAGGCAGGAGGGTCTCTGTGAGTTCAAGGCCGGCCTGGTCTACAGAGTGAGTTCCAGGCCAGCCAAGCTACATAGAGAAACCCTGTCTCGAAAAACCAAAAACAAGAAGATTAAAAAAAAAAAAAAGTTCAGGGTCATGCTTGGCTATATAGCAAATTTTAGGAAGGCCTGGGCTACATAAGACTCTAAAAGGTGAGTCTGGAGGATGGTGACTGCCATTGGTGTGAGGACTTGAGTTTGGATCCCCAGGTGCAGGGGCAAGCATCTGTGACCTAGTGCTAGGAGAGTGGAGCTCACTGGATAGGCAGTCTACCAAGCAGTGAGCTCCCAATCTCAAGGTCAGCCTCTGGCTTCCACACATGCACACGTGTGTGTGCACACACACATGCACCTACAAGCATGTACACATGTATATCATACACACTGTTAAAGAACATTTCAAAGTAAGGATGCATAACTTTACTAGGCAGTAAAAGAGGCCAATTCTCTTTTTATTGTAACTTTTATCACTAATGAGTGTGTTTGATGGGTGTGCACACACATGCAGCAGTGTACATGTGGAGGTCGGGGACAACTTTGTAGAGTTGGTTCTCCGCTTCCACCTGTGGGTTCCAGAGATTAAACTCAGGGCATCAGGCTTGTACAACAAAAACCTTGCCCATTTAGCCGTCTTGCCAGGCGTATATTATATTTTGTTGTTGATGTTGTTGTTTGTTTTTGTTTTTTTGAGACAGTGTCTATATATGCAGCCCTGACTGTCCTGGAACTCACTCTGTAGACCAGGCTGGCCTTGAACTCACAGAGATCCACCTGCCTCTGCCTCCAGAGTGTTGGGATTAAAGGAGTGTGCCACCACGTCCAACTCCAGCCCTATTTTTAATTTTTATTATAAAAATTTTGTGGTAATCTCTTTTCTATTGCGTGATAAAACTCCACGACCAAGGCAGCTTATAGAAGGGAGGGTTTATTTTGGTTTATGGCTCCAGAGAGGTAGGAATCCATCACCATCGTGTCAGAGAAGCGTGACAACAGGCAGGCATGGCGGCTGGAGCAGCTGAGAGATCACATCTTGAAACACAAACTAGGAAGCCGAGAGTGGACTGGGAATGGTGGGAGTCTTTAAACTCTCCAAGCCCGCCCCCAGTGACGTCCTTCGTTCAGCAAGGCCACATCTACCAAACTGTCCAAACAGCACCAACAATGGGGGGGGGGGCGGGGGCGAGATTCAAATTGCCGAGACTATAGGGGACATCTCACTTAAAACATCACAAATGTTTCAGATTGTCGGCGGGCTCGAGGAATCCCCATTTGGGTTCCATGGTTATTAATGTTTCCCCATATTTGTCTAATCAGCCTTTTATTTCCTGGTAAAGTAATTTTTAAGTTTTTTCCAATTGTGGTAAAACATGCCATTTTAACCATTTTTAAGTGTCCAATTCAATGGCATTAAGTAATTTGAATTGTGTAACCACCATCCATCTCCTGAACCTTTTTATCTTTTCCAGTCAAAGCTCTGTCCCCATGAGGTATAACTCCCCATTTCATGCTCCCCCAGCACCCAGCAACCACCCTCACTGTCCGCCACTGTCAGTTTATCTACGTGCAAGACATCTTATGAGAGGAGCCACATGGACTGGGGATGTGCTTCAGCGGGTAGAGCGCTTGTCTAGCATGCACAGAGCACTGGGTTCCGTCTCCAGCCACCACTACAGCCAGCTGGGATGGTACACACCAGTAATCCCAGCACTCAGGAATGCTGGGTAAGAGGTTCAGAAGTTCAAGGCCAAACATATCAATTGGAAGCCAACCTGGGCTATCGGAGACCCTGTCTCGAGAAGAAAAAAGGGCCGACAGAGCATTTGTCCTGTTCAACTGGCTTAAAATTTTTTAAAAATTTATTTTATATGTATGAGTGTTCTCCCTGCATGTATGCACATGCAACCTGTGTGTGCTAGGTGCCTAATTAGGCCAGAAGAGGAAGTGAGAGTTACAGATGGTTGAGAGCAGGCCACATGGGTGCTGGGAACTGAACCCTGGGTCCTCTGCAACAGCAGAAAGTGTGCTTAAGCACTGAGCCACCCCTCTAGGTTCCCAACTGGCTTATTTTGAACAACACAGTGTCTCTTCAGGTTTAATGGACTTACTGGCATGTGTTGGAATCACCTGTCCCTTTAAGGCAGAAGGACACATCTCATTGTAGGGCTATCATATTTTCTATTTGCATTCACAGGTTGGGGAACACCGTCCAGCTCCAGACACGGCTGATGTGGAATTGCTGGGCCGTCTTCTGAGCCTGCATTAAACTTTCTGAAGAACGGCCAGACTTTTTCCACAGCGGGCACACCTTCCACAGCCCCAACAATAGCAGGTGCACAAGGTCCCCAAGCTGGCCACATCCTTGCCAACATTTGTTTTCTGTGGCTTTGGAGGTTTTGTTTGTTTTTGCTTTGGTCTTAGGCTAGCCTCCATCTAGGTAGCCAAGAATGACCTTAAATTCCTGATCCTGCTACCTCCACCTCCCAAGTGCTAGGATTATAGGTGTGTGCCACCATGCCCAGTTTATGTAGTGCTAAAGATCAAACCTAGGGCTTCATGCATGCTGGGCAAGGACCTACCGGGCACTCCAGCTCTTGTGGTTTGTTTGATTTTAGTTACATTTATATATTTATTTATTATGTATTTGTGCATACGTGTGGGGGCACACTGTGTGTGTGTAAGACAGAAGACAGCTTGTAGAAGTCTGCTCTCGGGCTGGAGAGATGGCTCAGAGGTTAAGAGCACTGCTTGCTCTTCCAAAGGTCCTGAGTTCAATTCCCAGCAACCACATGGAGGCTCACAACCATCTGTAATGAGATCTGGCGCCCTCTTCTGGCATGCAGGGATACATGCAGGCAGAATACTGTATACATAACAAATAAATAAATCTTAAAAAAAAAAAAAAAAAAAAAAAAAAAAAAAAAAAAAAGAAGTCTGCTCTCTCTATCCACCATGTGGATCCCGGGGATATAATTCGAGGGGTCAGGCTTATCCACGGTGCCTTTACCTGCTGACCTGTCCAGACTGCCTTGTTTGTGTTTCATGGTTGATGTCCTAGGAAGGACATCCTGGGATGTGGCCGTGTATGTGAGCCTCCTTTTGGCTGAAGATGCTCTGAGGTGGGTTTCTCTTTCTTGGACCTAGTACTGACTAGGGCGGCTTTAGTGGCCTGACCATAGTAGCTGTGGTCTGTGAGAAGCTGCCTTCTTTCCTGGGACAGCCCAGATGGGGACTTCACGGTCTTCCTCCTCAGGGACCAGGTGCAGGCCACTCTGCCACCTCAGTCTGGAGTCTGGTGTTCCAGTCACTGCCTCCTCCCTTGGAAGGAGGGGAGACTATGGAGGTGTGGCATCATAATGGTAGGGAAGGGCTTTGACCTCCATTTCCAAGGGGAGAATTTAGTTTAGGGCCACCCCTGTTGCAGGGGGGCTGGGAAACCTGGTCCCTGGTAGAATATCCACACCCTCTTCATTTCCTGTGCGAGGGATGGAATGG